CAAACTTGCGTTTCTAAGTAACTTTCTTTGTCAAGACCCCCTAGAGACTTTTTTAGTTGTCAGTGGCAGCAGGGTGGTAGCAATGATAATCCAACAGTACAGCAGTTTCTGAGAAATACTGAGACCTTGAGCGTTATCAATTCGTTTTGCCGAGGACCAGTGAATGGAAATTGTCCTCAAACATCAGAACCTGCAAATAAATTGGACTGTACGCCTCTGCTGAAAAAAAGAAAGATTACTAAAAAGTAATGTGTTTGCTCTCCATCAACATTGAAAAATTTATTCATTTTGAATCATTAGTTTTTCTGTTAAATTAATTATTTAATCAAATGTTTTTCTTAATGCTTTTTTTTTGGACATTCTTTTTGTTGCTTAGTTTGTATCTCTCCATGACAGCCCCGGCTGCAGAGAATCCTCTTACTGTGATATAATGTTCAACAATTATTGATATGAGGTCTTCTGATTCTTCACTACAGATTGAGATATCATTCCAGCATTGAATAAACTTTCTGTTTTTCAGTAGATTCTCAATGGCTGTGTCCCTGAAATGAGTTCATTTATTCAAGTCTGACAAATGTTTGCGGATTTCTAATTCCATGTAAGTTGTGTCACCAATGCGAACTAGACCTAAATGGTCACTAACAAATGTCCAGTCCTTTGATTGGAAAACAGGTTCTTTGTCAGGATCGGAAAAAAACAAAAATGTCAAAAGAATTGAAAATTTTACCAACAGGATGTACCAATTCTTTCAAACACAATAGCAATTCATCTCTTTCTTTGTGAGTTGACTTCTTGACCTTCTGAGCATGTATCACAAACCCTGCAGTGTAACGAAGTGCATTGTGCTCCTCATAATCCAATGCACGTGGTGAATTTGCATCTGCTTCCTCATTGCCACTTCTCTCCTTTACTTGAAACATGCTCTTAATATTCTCTTCCACGATAGACTTCATAACATATTCAAAGAAGACAGGATCAGCTTCTAAACCAACATTAACTTGTAAAAACGTACTCCACAAAGAACAAAATTCATCACTGGAACATAGCTTATAATACGCTTCCCACATACGCTCT